CGAGGAAGGGTGGGGTGGGAGCGGGTAAAAGAGTTTGGGAAGCTGATGTAACTGAATCACTACTGAGTTGAACAATGGCTGTCATTAGCCACAGGTACTGCTGATTATATGGCCAGTAAAATTTTAGTACCTGGAGGTTTGACTCTAATTTTTGCACTGATGGTGCCAAAGGGCTCTTTGAGTTAGAAGGAGAGCCAAGAGTGGAGTGGAGAGATGTGGGGAGAAAGCAGTGCTGCTCAGACCAGCTCAGAAGCACCTCCTCTGCCTTTGCTGCTGGAACTGTGTCCACACTGGTGCCTGACCAACGGTGAACATTGCAAACCAGACACACTGGACCCTGCAGGCAGGGTGTTGGTAACCGCCCTACAGGGGATAAATGTTTCAGATTTGTAACTCAAGAACTCCTTCAATTATATTGGTTTTCTGTGACTTTCTTGGTGCATCAGGTATATATGTTTTGGAGTAGTTTTGCCAACTAAAACTAAATCATTCATCAAATCTTAAAATTCAGTTAATATGCAGGGAGTTCATTCACTGCTCTTATCTCTCAGTTGTGCCCTCTGAACTCCAGGTAGTCAGGATGTAATTTTATTATTCTCTGCAGTCCAAATGTGTGTGTATGTGTGTGTGTACTCATCACAAATGGTAAGGATTCCCATTACTTTTATAAACACCACTACAACTTATAATAGGCTCATCAGTGTCCAGATTCCTGCTTTTATCTTTTCAAAACTGATCTGTTTTTAAGTAGACTGACCAGCTTGAATTGTTGGACCCTCATTTATAAATTAGAATCATATTTTGGATTGTAGACCAAGTATAAATTACATCAGAGTGGGATTTAAAATTTTAGAAGCAGAAACTCCTATGTAAGTGGAACTTGAACTTTCTGATCTCTTAAGAGAAGCAAGTAGAAACTAAATGGTTATGTTGTGCTGCTGGAGATAATGCATTCACTCCCAACTTAAAGGGTTCCACCTTCGCCACTTGACACTAATGCCATCAATGGACAGTTAATCAGGAGAAAGGTAAATATAAATAGAACTTTCATCTTACCTTCAGACACTACAGGGAAATTACATAATTCCCTAGCACGCATTTAAGAAACTTTGTAGGTTAGCAAAGTTTTGGTTTCTCTTCTGGCTCGACCAATATCTTGTCTTTTGCAACGGTTTGCTTTCCTTTCCCTGCAGTTTAGCCTTTCCTTGGAACCATAACAGGGCTCATTGGGAACATACTTTGACCACAGCTCTAGTACTTCCAAATAAATTTATATCTAGATTTTCAAACAAAGTCCCAAAGTGAAGTCTAATTTTGAAAAGATCCCACAATTTTGAGTGTTCTTTTTATCTTACCAGCTGAATTTCTTCCCTCCTTCTCCCTAGCCTGGCCGCCCGCACCTTCCATTTTATTTTGGCCACTGTAATCACGTCCATTTTACTTTGACATTATATCTGCCTTTCAGGATGATGGGGTTCATCCTGTCCTTGAGTGGAAATGGTAATCAGAGTCATTTTCTCAAAGTCACAAGACTAGCAGTTGGAATCGCTTCCACACAGAAGAATCCCAGGGTAGGGCAGAGCCACGTCCCCAGGCAGGAGAGGGGCTCAGCGCCTGGCGGCTGCTGTGGCCTGTGCGCTCACGTCAGGGCCTAGCGGCTCCTTTGCTGTTAAGTGGCAAGTTACATTTTAAGTAAGGACAGAGAACAAGAGTTAATCAAAGCAGGCCCGTCAGCACTCGGTGCTCTAATTGAAGATGCGACGACTGCCCTGGGCGCCGCGCGCCTTACAGACCTGGACGCCCGCTCCCCTGCACTGCTCCAGTCATCTTGGCTTGTCGAGCCGAAACTGTAACTGTTGCCCGGCAGGGGAGGTATATCTCATAAGCGCTTTGCTTTTTTATGAAATGTACCTCTCTTGCAGAGTAATAAACAGTTACAATTTCGGCACAAAGGGAAAGAAGTTTTTATTTGATTTTGGAGGCGAGGGTAGGGAACTAAGGTGAGAGCAGAGGAGGAAAATCTGTTTTTTCTTATTTTTAGAAGCTAAAGAAAATACGTTTTATGGGTTGTCTTTAGTTTGTATACTTTTTCCTTTTTGATGTTGGTACATTTGGTGTGCTACACGAGCTCCTGTGTGGCGGCCTGAAGCTCTGATGGTGGGTGGTGCGGTGTTACTCTGAACTGCTGGAGCTCTGGTCAGTATTTCCGTCCCTGGAGGTCACTGAGGCACCATTGAAACTGAGCACAGAGGACCTGGAAACAGACAATCACAGGGCATTCTATCATCTCTGCTGGCTTTTCCTTCCTAATATTACAATTTTTGTTTTGTAAATCATGTTTTGTTCACACTTTCCTGCCCCTTTTCAAAACGTTCTGCAAAATTGTTCTTTCCTCGAGAAGAGTTCCTTTGCTTCATTCCTTATGCCTCCCCACTGGTTCTGATGGTGTTGATAATAACTGGGCGGGAAAAGTGGACCTACAAGGAAGCGCTGCCTGCGGGCTCCAGGCCCACACCTAGGCAGAGGTGCCGTGGGACAGCTGTGGGTGCCCTGCTGGTGGCCAGTGCTCCTCTTCCTCCCAGAACATTGGTTCTCCTTGTTCAGCCTACAATCATGTGCTCTTAACAGAAATTACTTGTAAAAATCTGGAACTATCTTCAAAAAAACTTTATTAATAATCATGTATTTTTACTCATCATATTTTGAAATACCTAAAAGACTTTATTGTTCTAATTGTCCAGATGTACCTTTGTAAAATAGCTCTTTTATGAATTAGCTGATAAGGCTGTATGTTTCTGGAACAAAATACTGGTCATCTAAAAACTTTTTTTCTGGGGTCTGGGAAAATAGAAAATGAAAGTTCAAATATTAAATATGCTTAAAGGAACCAAGTATGTGACTTTTTATTTGCATTCTTGATTTGTCTTACACAAATTCCAGAAAAGTTTAGGTGCAAAGGAGGTCTTAATTAACCTGCCTGGCAGTGGTGATTCAGCATCTTCCAGCTTATTAGAGCATCTTTACTAGTGAGGCTCCCGCAGTGTGTAAGCTTCAGTGAGGACACCAGGAGCTGGGACTGCCTCACCATCTTTGCAACTTTGTTGTTTTCTTAAAACAGCTTTATTGAGATATAATTCATGTATAAAATTCACTCGGCTAAAGTGTACAATGCAATGACTTTGGGTATATTACATTATGTGTTTTAAATTGTGGTGAAATATATGTAACATAAAATTTGTCCTTTGAGTTATTTGTAAGTGTACAATTCAGTGGGGCTAATGGGGAGTCTTTATGACTCACTTGAAGGTAACTTTTGTTTGGTGCTCCCCTGAATGAAAGCATGATGTCTGTTGCCACTCTTATCCCCAGGGCTGGATCCTGTTATGGATTTCATTCCAGCTCAGATGACTCGCTGAGCTGAAGCTTTTTTGTTGGTTCTGACATAGAGGGATAACTTGACTTACTGTGGGATGATATTTTAGTTTTCAGTCACTCGGGCACATTTGGCTGATAGATCTAATAAGCATAACAAAAATGCTTAGTATTTTGTGTGGTCTTTTAGTTTGAACTTTTAAAAATTAAGTATTATTCAGATGTACTTTGCAGAATTAACCTGTTTATACTCTTAGTTCTCTGTTTACAGATATAACTAGTA